GATGGAGGATGGCATTGTCTGCCCCAGCACAGCGGCAGCCCTGTTCTTCCCATGGCCAGCAGCATGCTCTAGTGGATTGAATAAGGGTCTGGGAGCCAGGCACTTGCATATCTCATCCCAGCTCAGCTACCAACTGGGCTGGTGACACGGCTCCTGGGTTCTGTTCCTGGCTCGGGGCAAGTCACTTCCTGTCTCTGTGCCTCCGTTTCCCCAGCTGTCCCATGGGCGAAGTGTCCCTCCCCTTCTTCATGGAGTACTTCAGTGGTGCACTGTGCCGAGTGCTGCTATTCTGATCCTGGGATGTGTTCAGCTCATTTGTCTTGGAGACTTAGTCAGATTGTTACCTATGGCATTGCCTAGTGGTTAGAGCAGGTGACAAGACTATATGGGTTCTATTCCTAGCTCTGCTGCTGACCAGCTGTGCGAGCTTGGGCAAGTCCCTTTCTCATGACATGCCTCAGTTTACCTAGCTGTAAAATGGGGATAGAAACTTCCTCGTTGTAAAGTGCTTTGAGATCCTCCAAAGCCAGGAGAATGGCAAATGGTAGTAAGGGATTGTGCTAAAATAAAGCTCCCACTGTAAGTATGCTCAGCTTTTCGTTGGTGGCCAGCTCTGGCCGGCAGATAATTGCACTTGTCCCTAGGAGAGCTGCTTGAGAGATTTCACCCTAGTTAGTGGTCACGAGCTATTCTCCGTGTCACACCTCGCTCGACTCAAGCAGGACACTTTCCCTTAGACTTTAGTGCTAATATCTCCCCCTGCTTCTCCCCCAAGGCCGGGGGGGCGGCATTACAGCTCGACGCCCCTTTGGAACCCCACGGCAACTGCCCCCAGACAAGAGCTAAATCCACGTGTCATCGGTTAACAGCTGGTGTCAGCCATTTACTGCGATAACTGCTGGAATCTTGCCAAGCCTGTGCAGGACAAAGGCAAACAGGGGCCTGACGGGACGGGCGGTGCTCACAGGGAGGGACAGGTGGGGGGCAGAGCACCAGTGGCACTGGCAGTGCCAGAGGAGGGGGTGGGCACAGCAATAGGCCCCTCAGCAGCAGGAGAGGGGACACTTTCAGGTTGCTGGGGTGGCACTTGGTGCCAAGGCCCCCAAAGCACTCATCTGTCAGCCAAACCCAGCAGAGCCTGGAATCTGCTCCGAGACCACAATGATGGGCACAGCGTAAGACAGACAGACAGACACTGCTGAGGTGCCTCTCAGAACCACCCAACGCTTACCCCCCGCCCCCAAAGCGAGCTCCCCCAGGTCCCCAACCAGCCTCCAGCACCCACAGGGCGAGCCATCCACCCTCCCCTAGAGACATCCCTGAACAGAGCAGGCTGCCTTTTGTATGGCAGGGCCTTGGTCATGTGCTGCCCTGCTCTTTGCACAATCAAATCAACCTGGAGAACCCAGCCGGGCACAGCTGGGTCCCAAATAGCTGGGTTCACTGAATATAGGCGAACAGGCGTCCTGCTGTCTGCCTGGTCTCTGGACGCTTTAAAACGAAGAGCACAGTGAGGGCCACTAGAAGGCTCACCAACTATTTAAAGGGACACTGCCCGATTCTTGCACACTACCGTATGTACCCTCTCTTTTAAAGATGAACCTCCCTCAGTTCTTTCCTACCTCACTGGGAATATGCTGGCTCCTTTCCTGTTCCTCTGGAACTCGCTACCTTCTTGGATCTTGTCTAAGCTAAATCATTTTGGGTCATCTGCATATGTTGCCACCACACTGCTCCCCCCTTTCCCGCTTCATGAACAAACCACATAACCAACACCAGTCGTCCTCGTAGGAAACCTTGTTTGATCACTTTGATCACGATGGAAACTGACCCCTGCGCTGAAACTGTCTAAGGGATCATCTCACCTCTTGCCAATTATGCTTGCTATTTCTCAGCGTGTATTCAAGGGAACATTTCCGGAAGGAAACACAGCCATTTGCTGCAGCTCATCACAACAAACCGTACAGGATGGAGGCAAAATTCCTCTGAAAGGAACTGCACAATATAGGAAATGCTCAAAGATCCCACGGCCTCCACGTCAGGGAAGTGCCTCGCACGGCTCTTCCACTGGGTGTATTTTAAATCTACCCTGGAAGGTTTTTCCATAACGTTGGCAGGGATTTGCGGATCCCCAAACACACACTGCATCCCTCTACTTTCTATGCACAGCACCGCAGCCCCCCAACCCAGGAGCACTGGCTGGGGCTCCCTTGGGAACCCAGCCGTGTCATCCTGTAATCGGCTGGCGTGGTTGCTGAGATGTGCTCTCTCTCCTCATCTGCCCCTAGCTCCTGCTGTCCCAGGGAATAAGTGAATGGGACTCGGAAACGAAGACGGGGTCTCCCTCCCATTGTGGCACAGTCAGAATGAAACCTACAAAGATCTACTCTGCACAATGAAAGGAAATGCTTCCTCTCCCTCCCTAGTCCTCTCGTCCTGCCCCGTCTGTGAGTCCATGATCACAGCAAACTCCTTCTCCTAGATTCCAGCGGGTGTCCAGGGCCTGCCGACACTAACCCCCAGCGTTCCCCATCGTGCTTGGCTGGGCTGGGCAGCTCTGGGCTGGGTCAAAGTGCCTTGCGTTTACTTGGCATTCTACAAAGAAAGATCATAACAAAGCTCATCCGATAGGGCAAGTGCAGCAGCCTCTGAGAACGAGCTGCCAGTTCCTCCCCTGGGAGTGACTTCTGCACCTCTCCTGGCAGGGTGCCTGGTAACAGACGTGACAGCTTCGCCTTGGCGTGAGATATCAAAAGAGAAACAAGGTTGCTGTCAGCAGAGGATAGGAGTCTCTCCTTCCGCCAATTCAGTTTGATCTTGCCTTGTCATGAGATGTAAACCCAAGGCGCTGAGCACTTAGGGTTCCCTCCCAACAAGACTCTCAACAAAAGTCAGAGGGTTTGCCCTGGCGTTCTGGCAGATTCCAACCTGGGTTGATGCATTCTGCCTCAGCTACAATCCTGGGCCCCCGTGTTCAAGCAAGACGATTTCAGTCTGGGGCAGGTGCAGAGAAGGGCTCCTGGGATGGTCAGGGGATCGGGGGCCTATGGTCTGAGCTTGGCTTGGTTTGCCTAGCAAAACGAAGGCCGAGCGGGGATCGGACCACTCTCTACAAACACAACTGGGCTAAACACCAGGAGGGAGAAGAGCCGTTCAAGCTAAAGGGCAATGCTGGCACAAGAACAACCGGGATAAACTGGCCATGAACAAATTTCAGCAACCTATGTCCTAGTGTAGTGCCATAAACAGTGATTTGCACCGGGCCGGCTCACCACGGGGATTATGACGTGTCAGCACAACTAAAGCGGAAGGCTGGGCTCTGGGACGCTGGCTGGGAGCGGAAGCTCAGGGCTCCGGTGGCTTTGCCGGGTGGCAAGCATGGAAAATAATTAGAAAGGGAAAGACAAAGACAGGGGGCCTGGCGGGACTTGCCTGCTCTGATTCACCTTCAGCTGCTCTGCGCTGTGGCACTAATTGTGCAGCCATGGAGCTAGGCCTCCCCTTCACCTTATACTCAGCCCGGTGCGCTGCTGGCCGGATAACGCCACTGCTCACTCCCTTCCCTGTTTCACCTGCGGGGGTGGCATGAGCCGTCCCTGAGTCCACCCTGCCGACATCCAGTGGCTAGGGCAGTGGTTCCCAAACTTTAACAACCTGTGAACCCCTTTCACTAAAATGTCAAGTCTCGCGAACCCCCTCCTAAAAATGAAGATTTCCAGGGATTTTCTCCTTTACCTGAGTATAAAAGATAAAAGCAGTGATCTTGGAAATATAAAATTTGTTTTTAGGACATGCTTATTACACGCTATTTATTATTAATTGTTATCGATCATGACAGTATTTTTATTACATTATTATGGGGAAGCAGGCGCGGGGGGGGGCATTCACATTTCAGCTCATTTTGCACAGGTGCAGGACAAAGTGCAGGAGGAGGGGCAGAGCGGGGATCACTCCTGAATTTCTGGGCTGTAATAGCCTGATTCTGCCTGTACATAGGGCAGTGCTGTGGGCAGACGTGGCCCTGTCTCCCCCCTCCCCCGGCACAGAGTTTTCTAGCACCCACCCCGGATATTTTGCTTTGAAACCAGGCTCCAACCCACTCGAGGCCGGGCACGCGGTGCTGGAGACACACTGCAGCAGAGCC